AAGCCGTTCTGGACATACAAGCGGTCGAAAAGTAATGATTTTCATGAAAAATGAAGTAATGTTTTCTTCTTCTCTGTCCGCAGTCACATGCACCTCTCTTGTCACTCACCTTTCACTCACACCTCCCCCAATTTCGACCCACTCCACCCCTTGCCACCACCGCTCCTCCACCAACACCCCCCCACCCGCACCAACCTTCTATTTTCCGCTCTATCTCACTCTCTTTCGTCCTCTCTCACCCCCTTTCGTCCTCTCTCACCCTCGCCTGCTGAAAGTGTTCGATGGTCACTCAGGGTCGTGATCTTGACATTGTGAGTCAAGATTGTATTAACTTTTTTCGAAAACTTCGTCACGCGTGATGGGTGACTGCTGTAACCTTCCGAAGGTTGTTCGGTGTGATGACCTTCGTAATATGTAGGAGGGTCAAGGTCATTGGAGGTGAACTGTGCATTTTAATCTTAATAGCTTCTTAATGGGCAGCGGTCGCCTGCTGAAAGTGTTCGATGGTCACTCAGGGTCGTGATCTTGACATTGTGAGTCAAGATTGTATTAACTTTTTTCGAAAACTTCGTCACGCGTGATGGGTGACTGCTGTAACCTTCCGAAGGTTGTTCGGTGTGACGATCTTCGGAATGTGTGGGAAGGTCATGGTCATCGGAGATGAACTCATTTTAATTTTTATATGTATTTTTGAGTGTGCTCTTCGTTATTTAACATTTTATTTATATATTATATATTTTGAGTCATAAAAATTTGAACAATAGTATGACATTTTGCTAATGTGGCCCTCTATGGGTATGGATTACTCGCCCAGTTAGCACAGGATATTTTATGGACATACATGTTAAGTTCAGTTTATGTCCATATGTCCATGGACATAAATGGGACTTAAATTGGATATCCTTTTTTGGATATGGATCTGATATCTGCACAAGATACTTTATGGACATACATTTTAAGTTCAGTTTGTGTCCATACGTTTATGGACATAAATGGGACTTAAATTGGATGTAAAACTTTCAATAAATTCCATCTTTCGATAAATTTTACCTACAGGTATACAGGTAAACTTTATTCAAAAGATGGAAAACAATCGGCCCCTAGAGAATCCCGCTACTGTTAAGTAAGTAGCAAGATTATTCAATCACGTGCGCGGATTCCCAGATTTACCTAACAGGTAAATTTACCGAAAGATGGAACAATCGACCCTTAGAAAATCCCACAACTGGCTGCGGTCTAAGCTCTAAAATAAACATTAAAATCAATGATGCCAGAATTCAAATGCAGCAGTTCAAAGAAGATGGAGAGGGTACTCATACACTAAAGCAGAGCCACTCAGCGTCAGCGCGCTGAATCGCATACGGACGTAGTTCTTCTTTGCATGAGTACCCCCTCTATCTCCTTTTTTGGTGGGATCTGACGGGACCGCATGGTGCGTGAACTCTGAATTCGGCCATTACTGCTTAAGTAAGTGAAGTGAATACCAGTGAATACATCGGTGATAATCGATATATATTATATTTAATTACTAATTTACTAAGGTAAGACACTTTTGTTAAAAATAAGTCCGGGTTTACAGTATGAGTCGATAGTTCTAAGTTTTATCGATGAATCCGTGAAGTTGGGCAACAGCCAACTTGTACGATTATAGTCGTATAAGACTACTGATTTTGTTAAAACTGACTAAATTCAACTTTTTTTTTCTACTGATTGAGCCAAATAATTTATTGTACAATTAATTCGTGGATGCGAAAAATAGTTATTACTTACTTATAGGTTAAGAGGTTTTCTACAATAAGCCTCTTAATCTGTAAGTAACCTATAACTAATAATAAATTAGAAGTTAGAAGTTAGAAATTGTATCAAATTTGAGAAGAATAATCGACTATGATCAATTTCTAGCTTCTGACTTCTGATTTATTGGTTACGTTTACACTGTGCATGTAGGCCGCGGCCTATATAAAATTGTAAGATTAAACGAACTTACCAAGTGAAGTTCGATTTTAATTATGCCTTGTCTCGTCCGGATGAATAACTATGTAGTCATGTCCTCATGCCTGCATTACCAACAGAGTTCACAGAATCTAAAAGTTGAGGATGGCGCTGTCCGCTCCCGCGCCGTCGACCGCGCCACATCCATTGCTCATTATTTAAATATAACGAAGCAAATCAAAAAAGTGGGTGGGAAGGAGTGTATAAATGCTCAAGGAGTGGAAGGTCCATCCGGACGAGACAAGGCATAATTAAGATCGAACTTCACTTGGTAAGTTCGTTTAATTTTACAATTATGCCAAAGTCTCGTCCGGATGGATAACTATGTAGCTGTTCAAAGTGTGATTTGCGAGCAACTTTTTCTATTAGAATCCAATATTCAATAGTACAAAGATAAAAGGTCATAAGTATAATAACAAAAAGGTTTTCTTCCTCTACCTACTTAAGGCTAAATATCTAGTAAGGTTTAATGTATCTAGAAAATCAGATCCCGTTTTAGGATAACAGAACTGAATTACAGAAGCTTTCCGGGTTGACGATCGGGCGATTATAAAAATTCGCGAACACTCGGGATTTGTCCGACCAACCTGCCGCTCGCTTAACAAGTTCCAGAGAGATCCCCTTTTTTACAGCTAGGGAGGTAGAGGCGTGCCGGGTGCTATGAGCCGAAAAGAGGTCTCCTTGTACCCCGCATTCCTCTAAGCCTCTACGAATCCAGCGGCTTATTGATTGGACTCCAACTGCCTTGTGAGGTCTCATGCAAGAGATAAACAAGGAATTGCACTCGGGGGGACACAGAGGCTGTAGATAATATTCTAAAATGGTTACTATGCAAAGGTTTGGATGATCAGGGAAACGCGCAAAGGTAAGCAAGGGTTGGGCTCGACCTGGCGCCGAGGTCTTCAATCGATCTGGGATTTTCAAAATAAGCTTATTTTCTTCGCGAAAAATATGCGAGACTTTTATTGCCGCTAAGGTCTGCGCGCGCTGTCCTGAGCCTAAAGCTAAAAGAAGAACTAACTTTCTTGAGATAATATCGAGAGATAAAGACTCATAGGGGAAGATGTGTGTTAGTTTCTCGACTACAGGAGCTGGGTCCCAGATAAAATCGTAACGCGGTTTCTGCGGTTTGATGATATTAACTCCTTTTCCGAACAGCTTGATCAAAGGATGGTTACCAATCGCTTTATTAGAGATAAAGGAGATTGCTGATCGCATAGTGTTAAAGGACGAATACGAATTCGTGTATTCTAACTCCCGAGATAAGAATTCGAGAACCTGGTTTATTTCAGGATCGAACGGTGTAATCTGGCAATTCTGACAAAAGTTCCACCAGCTCTTTAAGGGTCGAGAGTATTGGTTGATCGTTGCTGCCGATAAGGAGGCGATCATGACCTCGAGAGCCGCTGCAGGAACCGATTGCGATATCAGTGCTTGCCTGATAACTTCCCTGCAGCCAGGGAAAGGCTTGTCCACTCCGAATGCTGAGGCCTGGAAGGAGAGGATAAGAGTGATTGAGACGGATCGAAGAACAACAGTTTTGAGATTAAAAGGTGATGAAACATGGGGAACCACGGTTGAGATGGCCACCAGGGAATAACTAAGATCCCTATGCCTTCGTCGTCCCATATTTTGCGTAATACCTTAGGAAGTAGAATGAAGGGAGGGAAGGCGTAAAAATAGAAAGAACCCAGGACAAACTAAAGGCGTCGATAGCCCAAGAGCCTGGATCGGGGAACCAGGAGACGTATGTCTCGTTTTTGGCATTAATCAGGGATGCAAAAAGGTCGACGTCAAATGGACCAAATGATGCTTGAATTTGGTCGAACGCTTTGATCGACAAGGACCATTCCGTGTTAGGGCTTTCCCTCCGTGATTCTCTGTCCGCGGTGACGTTGTCCATTGAAGCGATATAAGAAGCGAAGAGATGGATGTTTCGCTCTTCGCACCATTGCCATATTTCTCTGGCGATGTCAGTAGAAGAGGATACTGGACAGAACCGAATTTATTAATATAAGAGATGGCAGTGGTGTTATCGATCCGTAGTAAAATATTGGAATTGGAAAGGCCGCTGGCGAAACACCTCAATGCGTAGAAAGCTGCCTTTAGATCTAAGGCATTAATATGGAGGTTTTTGTCTTCTGGCGACCACCAGCCGCGAGTACATTGCTCACCGCAAGAGGTTCCCCAGCCGGTTAGGGATGGATCGGAAAATATTTCGCAGACGAAGGGTTCTGAGCGGATAGGATTGTACTGCTCAGAATCTGAGAGGACTTGGAGCCACCATTCGAAATCTGTACGTAAGTAAGAGGGGATCGCCATCTGTTTCGAGTAATCTCCTGACGAAGATTCCAGGGCTAAAAATTTTTCCCTCTCAAAATGTTTGGTATAGAGCGGGCTATACTGCACTGCCGGAAAAACTGAAACCAGTGATCCAATCAATTCCGCAAATTCCTTTACAGTACAATGCGATTTTCGTGAAAATCTGTTTGTCAGGGAAAAGAGTTTTCTTCTCTTATCCGGCGGAATGGCGATTGATTGATAAGCAGAATCGAATATGAATCCTAGATATCTGCATCTAGATGATGGTGTGAGTTGAGACTTGTTGTAATTGATTAGAAAACCTAGAGATGTTAGTAAGTTTATTGATGCGTGGATGTTGTTTTGACATTCCTTGATGGAGGCACCTAAAAGTAAAAAGTCATCGAGATAAACAATTGAATGAAAACCTTTCTCGCGTAGCAATTTGACAACCGGACGCAAAACTTTAGTGAAAATAAAAGGTGCAATTGAAAGGCCAAACGACAGGGAGGTAAATTCATAGGTCTCTCCCCTCCACTGAAAACGGAGAAATTTCCTGAACGGTTCGTGAATGGGTATCAGAAAATAGGCGTCCTCGAGGTCGATAGTTGCTAATTTAAATCCGGGAAGCATAAGGCGAACCACTGTGCTCCAATCTTTTAATTTAAAATGCGGGGGGGTGATGTAAGAGTTTAAATCCCGCAAATTTAGGATGAATCGCATTCCACCCGACGATTTCTTGATCACGAAAAAGGGGGAAAGAAACTGGTCCGCCGATGGAGTGACCTCTTCTATAGCACTCTTTTGGAGAAGGCGCTCTACCTCCGTGTCGCAAGCGGATACCTCCTGTGCCGAGAAAGACGGCTCCCTTAGAAAGAGGCGGGGTGGTGGCACAGAGGAAAAGGAAATCTGGTACCCTTTCACCGCTCCTAATATCATCGGGTCCGAAGTTAATACTTTCCAGTGCTTAATAAAACGGGCCAAACGGCCCGCCGAACTTACTGTAACTAACGGCGAGCTCGGGATTTGGATCGTGACTTCCTGCCGTGACCTGACTGGGAAGGGCCCCTCCTCGGGCGATGCGTCGATGAGGTTAGGCGAGGAGGGGCCTTCGCGTTTTTTGCGTTGGGATGTCCGATGCGAAGTGGTTGGTTCCTCTGCTGTTTCGGCTGTTGTCCCATCGTGGGATGAGATCCTTGAGTCGAAGATCGTTGGTTCTTTTTTGTCATTTTATTAGCAACCTTTTCCATTGTTTGAGCGGTATTTACGTTTTCCGTAAAGTTACTTCCGAAAAGATATTCATCGACAGTCGCTGAGTCCGATGCTACTTTACCCAGGAAGTTCAGCGAGAGTAGGATGAACGCTCGTTTAGTTTTGGAAAGATTGTAATGGTGGTCCGCTAACAGACGGATACCTTCTGCGATTTTGGACATAGCCAACCTCGTCTTCTGTAAGCTTTGGAGAGGCTCCAGCCTAGAAAGGTCTGAAAATCCGGAAGCGAGGGCGACTAGTGAGGTTCCTACCTCAAGTTGAGACTGGTCTCAAGCTCTGATGAGTATCACGCGTCACTACTGTGGCGCTAAGGTTAGGACGGATCTCTTTATTTATCTTAGGTGGAATGAGAAAAGAGAGGTCATCCTTGGGCTCGTATTTGGCGAGGAGTCTTTTTGAAAACCTCCTTTAAGCCGGTGCGCACATCAGCCTTGGTTGTATTGAGGACTATAGGCAACCAAGAGGGACCGTCTGATACCTGTGTCGGATCACCGAACAGCTCGTTGACGAAGTCGTCCGAAGGGAGCTTTTCCCCAGGATAAACAAGGACATCTATTGTATAGGCCGCAGTCTAAATGCACGGTGTAAACGTAGCCAACGACGTCCAACTACCGATTCATTGTAGACCCAGCATAATATTACGGTGTAAACGTAGCCAACGACGTCCAACAATACCGATTCATTGTAGATCCAGCATAATACATGGGCTACGTTTACACCGTACGTTTAGTCCGCGACCTATATAACAGATGTCCTTGTTTATCCTATAGGTTAATGTAATAAAACAAAGACACCTATCGTATAGGTCGCGGACTAAGCGTACGGTGTAAACGTAGCCATTATATAACGTAATAATATTTTATGTATTTTTGTTTTCATAGTTTATTCATCAAACTCATTACGAATCAACTGTAATCACAAACAGGTAAGAAAATCTCAAAATTATCTTAAAAATGTCAAAAATAAAGAGAAAATATTACCGAAGAGCCCAAGAAATAACTAATTCGGTGATTAATTTGGTTCAGTATAAAAACAATGCGTCATTATTAAAAAACAATCCACCTTTAGTTCCAAATAATAATTTAGAAAATAATTTAGAGAATAATAATCAATTAAGTTATGAAGACAGTGATAATTTTCAGTATAATGACTATAGTGATTCAGAAGGCTTTAATAATTGTAATTCAGATAGTGATCCCGATACAGAACATACTAATTTTGAACCTGTAACTACAGATGATTTTTCAAGTTCTATAATACCTTGTTTGCAAAGATGGACAATTAAAAATAATATAACTCATGTCGCGTTAAATGAATTAATATCTCTTATACAATGTAAATATCCAGAATTGCCTAAAGATGCTCGCACTTCATTAGGAACTCCTAGAATGGTTAATACAAACGTCATTTCGCCAGGATACTATTATCATTTTGGTCTAAGTAATTGCATCGAAACACTTTTATCGCGATGTTATTTTCAAAATCTACACTGTACCCAGTAAACACAATGTTACATGTAACGCACATGTAACATGAAATGTCAACTCAACAAGAATAACTGTAATATAACACAGTGTGTTTTCATGTTACATGTACGTTACATGTAATATTGTGTTTACTGGGTATTGAAGTTAACATTAATATTGATGGTTTGCCATTATGTAAAAGTTCATGTAGTCAAGTTTATCCCATTTTATGCAATTTAGTTGAAAATTATAATGAAGTAGATGTAGTTGGAATTTATCATGGATATGAAAAGCCTGCAGATGCCAATGTCTTTTTACAACCTTTTACAGAAGAAGCAAAAAATTTAACTTTACATGGTATTAAAAATCACATTTATTCTTTTAAAATTAGATCTTTTATATGTGATGTTCCTGCAAAAACTTTTATTACTTACACAAAAGGTCATTCTGGGTATTACTCATGTTCTAAGTGTACCGTTAAAGGTGAATATTACTGCGACAGGGTGATCTATCCGTATTTGAATAAATGTAATTTAAGAACAGATAATGATTTTCATACAGGTTCATACAGGCTCCTTAATGTAAGTGAGGAAAATTATTATTTTTCCAAACACATTCTGTTTTCGGACGAATGTGTTTTCCATAATAATGGCAACGTCAATCGCCATAACTTGCATTACTGGGCCACTGAGAATCCTCACTGGATGCTGCAAGTGCATACTCAAGTGAGGTGGTCGGTGAACGTTTGGGCAGGTATTCTCGGAGACCACATCGTTGGGCCACATTTTTTCGATGGTAAGGTCGATGGCAATGCGTACCGAACATTTCTTGAAGACCAATTTGTCGACTTGATGGGTGAGATGCCACTGGAATCACGTATTGACATGTGGTTCCAGCAGGACGGCCATCCTGCACACACTGCCAGGGCGACAAGAGAGTTGTTAAATAGAAAGTTCGGTAATCATTGGATTGGTCTTCGCGGTCCTCATGAATG